AGAAACTCTTTCCCTTTCTTCCCCTTTCTTGCCCTTCTGAGGGCCGAGTTGGGAACAGGAAGAGGAGCCCACCAAGGTAGCCACAGAATTCCAGATATGGGGGAGACAGCAGAGATGGCAGAGGCCAGGGGACGGAGGTATAGAAAAAGGCTGAAGACCACGGGACCGTGGCCCTGTCACTGGAAGAGTTCCAGGAAGCTGCCAAGTACTAAGGGCAGAGGATCCAGCATCCAAGGCCCCAAACTAATACTGTAAGGGCTGACGGTCCAACACCTGAGACTCCAGTAGCCAGGGCCACTGTTAGTCACTGAGGGTCCAACACCTGAGGCTCCAGTAGCCATGGCCACTGTTAGTCACTGAGGGTCCAACACCCAAGTCTCCAGTAGCCATGGCCACTGTTAGTTGCCCGGGGTCTGGACATCGGAGGCTGAGGAACTATGACACTAGCTGCCACTGCTGTGGAGCCGAGGATTGCACTAGCTGAGCAGGGATGGGTCATCGGTAATCAAGGCCCAGAGCAATAAGCCTCCAACCTGGGCACCTACAAGCCATAAGTCTCTGTGCTCCAGGGCCTGGAAGTGTAGGCCTCTAGTTGTCAGCACCTGGAGCTATAAGCCTTTGTGTCTGTTGGCCTATAAGCCTTTGGCACACCAGGGCCCAGTTCTTCCAGCACCAGAAGAGCTTTTCCTTGCCAATTGTGAGTTCTAATAGAGCAAAAAGACCCCAGCCAGCTGACTAGGAACACAGTGGCTGCATATTCACGTCTACAGGGTCCACAGGGCCACACGCGTGTTACAAGTGAGGGCACGAGCTATGCACGAGGCAATGTGAACTGCTGAGGACCATGGCAAACTGAAAGCCACACGTCTGGAGCAGGAGGCAGCCTACTACTGCCGTGAAGATTTATTGGCACACAGCCATGCCCATTCATTTACATAGTGCATGTTGGTTTTGCACTGCACCACGGGGATGAGGAGTTCTAACAGAGAGGATGGTCTAGATGGTCTGGTCTGCAAAGCTGACCACACTCCTAGATGGATCTTTACAGAAGATGTTTAACAACAAATGGTTTGGACTCACTGGACAACATTGGGCTGTAGCTCAGCTTGTCATGGTCAGGTGGGATGTGCACCACATGCATATATTTTCCACAACAGGAGCCCTCAAATTGCTTTTCTCTCTCTCTCAAGGGTCTTTTGGATGGACAGACTGGCACTTCACTTGATTCATGGTCTCTCTCTCTCTCTCTCTCTCTCTCTCTCTCTGAGACAGGGTCTCACTATGTAGCCCCAGCTGGCCTGGAATTCTCTACATAGACCAAGTTGGTTCAATCTCACAGTGATCTGCCTGCCTCTGCCTCCTGAGTGTTGGAATTAAAGACGTGCGTCACCATACCAGGCCAGACAGATTGCTTTCTTTTCTTCTCTTCTTTTTCCTCTCCTTTTCTCCCTCTCTTCTCCCCTCCTTTTTTTTTAAAAGGAAAGATTTATTTTTTATTATGTGTATGTGTCTGTGTGTCTGTATGCATATATGTACGTGTTTGTTTCTATGTGGGTAATAGTTGATTTCTGCCACAAAGTTGCTGCATTAAAAAAAAAAAAAGGAGTCCCACAAAACTTAGCCTATCAGAATGTTTGCTTATTTTGGAGGTTCCTTCCTTGCCTGAGACTGGGGGCTCTCTCCTTTGTCAATGGCTCTGGCCCACCCATCTGTCACCCTGGAGGTGAAGATGCTATAAATTGCCAGTACCAGAGACCTACAGTGACAGAAGTGAAAAAGAAATGCATTGATTCGCCTGTCAAAAACCTGCTTCAGGCATGGCTCTGTCCAGTCTCAAATGGTGTCATCCTGAGCACACTAGCTCTCTTTGCTTCTCAGGCAGGTTTCCAGGGCAGCCCAGACTCATTCTCTAGCTTGCTTTCCTAATTATACAGACTTCCTCTTTCCAGAGAGATTTCACCAAAGTGTCAGAACTGAGACCCACCGGCCATGCTTGGATGTCTATGCATCTATGACTCAAAAGCTGGGAGCAGGCGGGGTGTGCTGAGGAGCAGGACCTGCTTCTCATGGAGGAAGAATGTTTCACTCATCTGTCCATTCCTAACTCCAGTGATTAACTCAGCCTGCATCTACTGAATTCCTACTGTATGCGAGGATGGCTGTGGAGCGCTAGTAACTAGAAGAGCCAAGGAAACAAGAGAGGCTCCCCAAAGCCCCCAGAAAGGGACACAGTGCTGTTAACACCCAAGAAGACCAATCCCCCACTTCTGGTCTCCAGATCTGTGAGAAAGGATTAGCTAAATACTGAGTATACGGTGATTGGCGCAGACACCATAGGAAACTGATGCAGGAGGATTGGTTCTCTGTTGAGCTGCTGAGGGTAGGTGCCTGCTCAACACAGGATGAGCCTGAGAAAGAGAGAGCTAGTGGAGGACAATGTACAGAAGACAGCGCTGCAGAGAGATGGCCTTACTGGTGTCTAACATAAACTTCCCTCCTGTTCAACCTTGTTTGTCACTTGCTGCCACCATGGATGAGAACACTGCAAAATGTCCCTGCCAGGAGTGGTGCTGTACTGGAGGGGAGGCTCCTGGGCCAGGCCTGCACCCTGGCTAGAGCTGGGTGCCACATGGGGGCACTCTCTGTCCCTGCTTTACTGCTAGGGCAGGCGTGGAGTGTCTGCTTGGAAGTGCCAGAGGTCTTAGGACCATTGCTCCAGGCTTTGTTAAAAATCTAGGAGGTAAGAATTGGTGAAAGGAAATGAGTTTGCTTAGCTTATAGTTCTGGAAAGAACTGGGAAGAGACAAATCCTCAGCTTCCTTGGGCTTTGTCATCAGCAGCGTTAGATAGAGCTCTGCGTGTGCACAGCTAGCTGTGAGGTGAGCTCTCTAAACTGCTAAGTGACAAATCTTGCCCTGGAAGGAGTAGCCATCTGTTGGTCCCCTCCCCCTCCCCCTCACGCTGTTACAGAGGTGCTGGTTCCCTGGCCTCAGGGCTGCAGTCAGGGGTTCTCTGCACTGGGTCCTGTCCTCCAGCAGGACTGAGCTCCGACTGTCCCTCATGGAAAGTAGCCAGCCAGCCACCTCTCACGCCTTCCTGGCATTTCTTGGGATGATACCCTGAATACAAGACTCAACACTCAAACCTGCACTTTACTGTCTGCTCCTGGGAATACCCAATGAAGATGGCCCCCACCACCTGCCTTCAAACCTCAGTTTTCTTGCAAAGTCTTAGGGGCCAGCTGTGACCACTGGTCTCCCACTTCCCCAGTCATTTCATTTTGTCATTGAGACTCTTAGGGTCTCCAGCCACATTTCTAACTACCTTTGTGGCTCCTGGATAAAAAGAAGCTGCCAACGCCACTATTCAGCAGCCAAAACAGTCAATATTTGAATTTAAGCACATTTTGCGCTATTTCACTAAGCAGTCTAGGCTTGTACGCTCCTCCCTCAGCCTCAGCCTCAGCCTCACAGACCTGCAGCAACTCTGGTTTCTTCATCCTGTGGACACTCAAGGTCAGCCTCCCACCTCTCAGGAGCTGCGGAGGTGTGGGAGCCACACAAAACCCTGCCTGGCTGCTAGCTATGTGGGAGAGGTAGGCGTCAATCAAACAGTCCTATGCAAAAATACAAAGGGAATCTGAGACAGGGCTGGAGAGGACAGAGTCACAGAAAATTAGGGCTGATAAAAGTTGGGCTTTCCCTCCTCAGACAGAGCAGGAAGGGCTTACCTGAAAAGCTGAAATAAGGATTTCTACATTGATCTAGGCTATGAAGACAGAGTAGAGCACTTCTGGCAGAGGAAACAGCAGGTGCAAAGGCCCTGTGGTAAGAGAGAGCTTGGTGAGGGTTTGAAAACAGATAAAGCTATAATGGAGAGCAGAGAAAGTGGGGGGCATTGTCTGATGAGGGAAAGGTCTGGAAGAGATGCAGGAGTTCCCTGAGGGCCTCAGAGGCTGATTGGGTCTTTAATCTCAGCTCAGTGAGGAGCCATTGAAAATTTGAACTGAGTTCAAAGAACTGGTCTGGCCATAGCAAGCCTGGCTCAGGTGAGTATCTTTGTGTAATAGATTTCTAAAGCAAGGGTTCAGATGGGTTTGGTCACCATAGAGATGGCTATGTGGACACAATTATGATAATGAAGCCACAAAACTTGAGAACTGGGTGTTATAAATAGAACTCATTCTGGGTGAGTAGAGTGGTCTGGAGAGAGAGAGAGAGAGAGAGAGAGAGAGAGAGAGAGAGAGAGAGAGAGAGAGATGAAAGATGCTGGAAAACATTCTGCCCCCACAAAAGGTCTAATGTTTGAAAAAGGACCTGTCCTGTATGAACAAAACCCAGTAACCACAGAGCCAGGATGCTGGTGCCATAGCAACCCTTGGACCAATGGGCTTCTCTTCTGTTTTTCTATCAGGCCCCCTGGGCTCACGCGGAGTGGGGGCGGGGGACAGGGAGGACAAAGAACACATTTGTCACTGTTCACTGGCATTGTGTGATCAGCATCTTAGTTAATTCTGATAAGCTCTGGCCAAAGTAGAACCAGGCACCATCATTCTGAAGATGTGGAAACCCGAAATCAGAGGAATGATGGCAGCTGCCAGGCACTGGTGGCGTCTCAGGTGGGAAGTTGTGCCCAGGTTCCTTCCTCTCTCCGGGCTTGCAGAGCATGTCCCTATCCCCTGAGGCAGAAGGATCGTGAGTTCGAGGCTAGCCCAAGTCACACAGTAAGAACCTATTACAAAAAGGAAACAAAGAAAATCCGAGTAGAAAGCAGAACGTCCCAAAAGAGTTTCCCCAAAAGAGTCTCTAACTCGGAGATGGACCCCAAGGCCTGAGGGTCACGGAGAGAAGTTGTTCCCGAGTGCTTGCGGAGATAGAAGAGCTGGGGCGGGTAAGAGTGAGCGGAAATGTCGGGCCGCGGAACCACTCTACAGGGCCGCGGGGTCGTAGGGGGCGGAATATACACGAGGATTTCCGAAGCGGGCGGAAGCCGCGCAGCTAGGGTCCCAGCGAGCCGAAGGCATGGCGGAGGTATCTTCGGAGTCGGTGGCCGAGGCCGAGGCGCTGTCCGCGGCACGCGAGCGGAGCCGTCGCTTCCTCAGCGGCCTGGAGCTGGTGAAGCGGGGCACCGAGGCGCGCGTCTTCCGAGGCCGCTTCCAGGGCCGCGCGGCGGTGGTGAAGTACCGCTTCCCCAAGGGCTACCGGCACCCGGCACTGGAGCCGCGGCTCGGCCGGCGGCGGACGGTGCGGGAGGCGCGCGCGCTGCTTCGCTGCAGCCGCGCGGGTGAGGCGGGGCCGGGAGGGACCGGGCTGGACGGGGCGCGAGAAGACGGGGACACGGGACACGGGACGGCGGCTCCTCCGTGGGAAAAGCCTCCCGTCATCTACGGACGCTTCGGGATTCCCGCGGTCTCGCAGGGCTCATTGCGCTGGGTTCGTGGCTCTGCCGCCTCTCAAGGAATGTTTTTTAGCCCCGGGGCCTCAGTTTCCCCACTTGTACGGTTTCCGTGTGCCATCATTCTGGCTCCCGCCGGTAGTTTGACGACGCAGGTTTGTTGAAAAGTGCTGGTCCTGGAGCCAGGTTCTCCCGGCTCAGATTCTGACCCCGCTACTTTCTATGTGGCCTTTCAACAAGTCGACCTCCCTGCCTCGGTTTTCTCGTCTGTAACAAGAAGTCATAGTAGAGGTTGGCCTAGGCGCTGGCCTCGGCGCGCGATCAAGAGCGTCGCTTGTGGTCTTGTGACCATGAGATAAGGTATATATGTCACATGTTGTGTTTGTATGCTGACACAGCATTCAGTAACCGTCAAATTACATTAAATCGTTTATTATTTAAAAAACAAAACGCACCACTGTGTACCATCACCCAAAACCTTATATTCAGGAGAAACTGAGGCACAGAGAGGGGAAGTTCCCAAGGTTCCACAGCTACCTTTGTGGCTTTTTGTTTTCTCTTTAGTAGTGTTTTCTCCTTTTTTTTTTATTTTGGAACCTACCATGCACCAGGGCACCCGAGCACCAGGACACTATTAGGTACTGGGAGATCTGGGGATATTGAGCAAGCAAGCACTTTACTGCCCCTGCAGAGTTAATGAAGTTATTTGTGTGTTCCTGTTTTCTGGCAGCCACCTTGTTTACTGCTGGGTCCCCGTTGTCATAAAGGGTGTCTTGAGAATGAAGGTGCAAGCTTTGACACCTCCAAACTAGCTCTGGGTGGTCTCAGGCCATAGTCCTGCAGGGCTTGAGCCGGGAAACTTCCAGATGAGTTGTAGCATTTTCCACAGCATTCTGAAACCTTTTTCCAAAGTAAGTAGATTCAGAAGGAAAAACTGGCTCAGCCTCTGGAAATGAAGGCTTCCATCACAAAGCATCAACTAACTAACCACTTACATGTCTTTCACAGGGATTTGCGCCCCAGCTGTCTTTTTTGTGGACTATGCTTCTAACTGCTTGTATATGGAAGAAATCGAAAGACTCAGTGACTGTTCAAGATCATATTCAGTCCACCATGGAGACAGAAAAGAATCCCCAGAGCCTCCTGGGCTTGGCTGAGAGAGTTGGGCAGGTTCTGGAGAGAATGCACAACCAGGACCTGGTTCACGGTGACCTCACCACCTCCAACATGCTCCTGAAACCGCCCCTGGCGCAGCTGAGCATCGTGCTCATAGACTTCGGGCTGAGCTTCATTTCGGGACTGCCTGAAGATAAAGGAGTGGACCTCTACGTCCTGGAGAAGGCCTTCCTCAGCACGCACCCCAACACCGAGGCCGTGTTTGAAGCCTTTCTGAAGAGCTACTCCACCTCGTCCAGAAAGCCTGGCCCTGTGCTGAAGAAGTTAGATGAAGTGCGCCTGAGAGGAAGAAAGAGGTCCATGGTTGGGTAGAAGAGTGGGTGTGACTGGTTTTCAACATGAAGATGCTGTCAGCAGGTTAGACCTCAGGGTCTCAAGAGTGCCTGCCCCCTTCTCTAGCAGAGCTCAGAGGAACTGAGGACTAAATTCTCTTATGTCGATGTTGCACAGAGTCAGGTGCTTCAGCTTAGACACTCAGAAAGACGCTTCAAATCTGATTCCATCAGGTGGCTGGACTTCAATGAGAGGGTCTCAAAGGGAGTGTGACTCCTGAGGATGTTATGCAGTTGTCCTTTAAGGAAGAAGATGTCATTTACATAAATCTCACACAGATTGTCAGCTTTTGTAAAGGAGCATTATACATAAACAAATACCACCCATTTTGCCATGTAGAAGTATATGTCTGCCAATGCATATGTGGAAAACGTCTGAGTATTTGCCACAGGTGAGGGACAAATATTTTCATGTTGTCTTGATGTCAGAGACTTTCCATGACCAGCTCCTCATAGGCTGTCCAGGTAGACAACACTTAGAAACTTGTGTATTTTGTACAGGGGACCTGACAGAATCTGCAGCCTCTTGACGCACAGCGGGATGACATGTTTCCTCATCTTCACTCATTGCAAGAGGTAGGCTTGGAAATCATTAAGAGTTTCAGGTTCAAAGGTGAAGCAAAGTTCTGTAAATATCCTCAAGGGTCTTGTTTCCATCCCAGAACCAGGGCTGCCTGTTTACACCTCACTTAGGGAGCTCTGAGCAGGCGCTGGCTATGAGTCCACACCCCATCTTCCAGATGTTCTCATCCCTGTTCTGTAGATTAAGCACTTGCAGTTTCTACTCTGGGGTGATTCTTCATGGCAAGCAGCATATCAAGCCCATCCAGGAAGGCTTGTAAGGTTTCCAGATTGGGTGTCTTCATTAGTGACCCCAAGGGCAGGGAAGGGAATGGCCAGGTCTGTACCATTGACCTCAACACATGCCTATGTCCCCCTTTGAACACCTCCAGGAAAATCGGTAGGAAGCAGTCCATGGGCAGATTCTGCAGGGAGGAAGGGTCCAAGGCCTCATTCCTCACCAGGCTCTGACCTGCCAGCTCCAGGAGTGTGGGTGGGGCCTCCAGACTCATCCTGAGGAATTTGCAGGGACATATTCCAGATGTGGCAGGCAGAGCTCCTTGACTCCCAGCAGACCCAGACAGTGACTCCAGGTTCCCGGACTTTGGCCTTGCCCCCCTTTTTATTGAGACAGGATCACCCCTGTAGCCCCAGCTGGCCTGGAACTCTCTCAGAGAGCTAGGCTGTACTCCACCTCTGGGATTAAAGTTGTGTGCCCAAATTTTTATTTATTTTTTATTTTATGTGTATGAGTGTTTTACTGGCATACATGTAAGTGCACCCATGTCATGCAAGGCCCACAGAGGCCAGAAGAGGGTGTTGGATTCTCTGGAACTGGAGTTTCAGGCAGTTGTTAGCTACTATATGGGTGCTGAGAACTGAACTTGGGTCCTGTGCAAGAGCAGCCAGTGCTCTTAACTGCTGAACCACTGCTCCAGTCCAGTGAGGTTTTTGTTGTTTGTACAAAATAGTCTACTGTTAGCCAGTTTAGTGGGATATAACCAACATTTCCCAAAACCAAATCATAGACTAGGAAACAGTGTATTGCTTTATGAAACTGTTCTTTTTCCACATGTGCTTTTAGCCACTGGTATGTGTGAATTTTTTATACAAAATGGATTTTTGTTTGTTTTCAGAGGTAGGTGGCCTGGAACTCGATATATAGACCAGACTGGCCACATCTCACTTAGCTCCACCTGCCTCTGCCTCCTGAGTACTAGAATTAAAGGCCTGAGTCACCAAGCCTGGCTCAAAATGTTTCTTTTTGAAAGTTGCATTAAAAAAAAATGAAAAAAAAATGCTACTGATAGCTTTCAGACAACTAAAACTAAAGCAGTGTCTGAATTGTTACTGCTCTGTATTGATGGTTATGTAAGCTCACATAGGTGAGAAGGAGCATTGGTTTATATCACAGGTACTGGGGAGTCAGAGCAGGGATGAAGTGGCTTGTGATGAAGTTGGTACAGTCTGGTTTAAGGAGCATTAAAATGGAGTTCTATTGGGACCAGGACCACGTCTGTCCCATTCATCACAGCCGGTGCCCATCAAGTATCCTGCCCATGGCAGGTGGGCAGGAGAGGAGGAAGTCCCCTCCTAGGTGGCTGTGACCAATATAGCGGAGAGCTATCATCACTGCCAACTTAATTCATGTTCTCATAGTTGGGTCCAGAGCAGCTCTAAGCTAGGTGTTGTCTTTATTTTGCAGATGAGGAACTGGTTCAAAAGGATCCCTCCTTGCCCAGGATGCCACAGGGAGCAAGAGGTGCTGTTCCCTGATTCAAAGCCCATGCTTTTGGTTTCTCTTTGAAACATGGCCTCATACTGTATCCCAAGCTGGCCTCAGCCTTCCGAGTGCTGGGATTACAGGTGTGAGTCACACCTGGCTTTCCACTGATTCTGTAAGAAATGGGACATTGAATGACAATCTGTAATCTATACTGATTTGTGTAACATTTTCAAGGAAGTCCAAGGCCAGAGGAGCAGCAACTTTTTTAGTGAACACTGAACACTTCATGACAGAGATGGCCTTTCATCTTTTTCCTTACGTACACTGAGGGTGGTCTCAGAGAGATGCCACATGTGCAGTAAGTCAGCAGACTGCTAGTGCTCGCTGCAGGCCCTGGAGATCTGAAAGAAGACACGAAGCCCGTTCTTCCTTTCCTGTCGAACAGAGAATGGGTAGCAGTTTCAGACATGGAGAGGGAGGTTGGGAGGTGACACTGCATTCCAGGAGCTCAGAGGACATTCCAGGAGAAGGATGGTCACATGCATAGTTGGTGAGCATCCTTGTGGGACAAGGCCCATGTGACTGGCATGCAGCTAGCAAGGAGAAGGAACAGAAAATGGGGTGAAGAGGTGGCCTGAATTCTGCAGGGCCCTGGAACAGTTTAATCAGGGTGTATAACCCAGAAGTTCCTCCAGAAAGCTGGAGTCATCCAAGGGGGTGGAGCTGCCGCCATATTGAGTGGTGAACGGAGGGCAAGCAGGGCAAGCCAGCCTGTGGCCGTGGTGGCGCGGATCTCAAAGCTCAGTCAAAATGTAGAAGATGGATTATGGGAGCTTATGCTTTGTAAGTCACCCTTTCCCGGGTGTCATATAAACCGTGCTAAAACCCAAATAGAAGGTATTCTATCCATTTGTCAGCCCTGGGCCTCAGAGGGCACGGGTCTCCCAAGAAGGGGGAGGGGAAAATTTAGTGAAACAGGGCAACATCTGATTAGTATTTTGTGTGCATTGCTCAGGGGCAAGAGAGGAAACAAGCCACCTGGCAGTGAGAGGGCAACTGTGGTGGCCCATTCGTGAGAACTGCGGCCTAGGGAGGACACAGTAGAACATGCTGGGAACTATCTGGGCCAGGATGTCACTCAGGGGGCCTGAGACTTGGTAGCAGTAGCAGCAGTGAGGACTAATGATCTCCTTTGCAAGTGTCTGGAGGGAGAGAGGTGGACAGAGTGAAAGGCGAGGAGCTCCCTAAATGCTGGTACTGGCAGCTTGGTGCAAAGCCCCACAGAAGCCCAGCCAGATAAAGGCACTCAGCAAAGTGTGATTTGTCCTAGCACCACAGTAAGTGATGGCTGGGGCTCAAACCCAAGGTTTGACAGCAATACTCTACAGAGAGTTAAAAGTTCTTTGCATATATTAACTCATCTTACAGGGGGCAGCAGGCATGGAGAAGTTAAGGCTTGCCCAGAGCCACTCAGTGAATGGCAGAGCCACGGAAGTGCAACATGACAGACACCTGGCTGAGAAGGACCTCCTGTCACAACTGCTCTTACAGCCCGGCTGTGGGTCCTCGAGTCGTGGTTCCCTTAAGGCTTGGCATAGTAGGTGCTCCCATTAGGAGTTCTTAAATGAGGCGAACTGGCCACGCCTACATGGAATGTTTTGGGAAAGCCCCACTGGTGAAGGCATGGATATGAGCTGTGAATAAGAACACAGCACCCATCTGACTCCGTAGTAACACTTTATTTACAATTGCCCTGCAAGCCCTACTTTGCCTGTTTGACCCCCCCACTCCCCACCTCTTTAGAGTCAGGTTCTCTCTGTATAGCTCTACTGACTTAGAACTCACTATGTAGCCCAGGCTGGCTTTGAATTCACGGAGATCTGCCTGCCTCTGCCTCCTGAGCACTGGAATTAAAGGCGTGCGCCACCACACCCAGCTACCAATCTGATTTTTAAAACTGTTGTTATTTGTCCTGGTTGCTCAGATAGACCTGTACCCCCGGCAGAGCCAGTGCCTCACTTCCTCTAATAGTCTAGCCACTGTCACTCAAACTGGGAGTCCAGCTCTTCTGGGTCCAATTCATAGCACTTGACGCCAAAACACTATGACTCTCTTGCCACCAGAGGTCGCAAGTTACTGTCACTGTGGGAACAGTAGAGGGGTGACGAGGTGTCCCACTACTTCTCCCTCTCCTGTATCCTCTTCCTTGAACCTGCTCATCTCATAGCTCCTCAGCTGAGAATCTGCACTGTGCTGCTGTGCTGGTCACTCGGTGTTTAGAGGAAGACACAGGTGGATGGCTGTTCCTGCCTTGCTCACCCATTCTTCCACTCCTCACGCCATCCCTAGGTGTCCTCATCTGTGTTGGATCCCGGGGAGGCCTGGGTGATGGGGGCATCCACTGACCACTCCAGAAGCCCCACCTTTGCCGTGCTCTGGAACACAGGGCTTCCTCCTGGCTCCCTGCTGCTGCCTACCCCTGCCTTCTCTACACTCAGCAGGCCGATGACTCTTTCTCTCTCTTTTTTTAAATATTTATTATTTTATGTGTATGTGTGTATTGCCTGCATGTAGGCAAGTGCACTCGTGTCATGCAATACCTGCACAGGACAGAGGAGGCTGTCGGATCCCCTGGAACTGGAGTTAGGACAGTTGTTAGCTGCCATTTGAACCTGGGTCTTCTGCAGGAACAACCAGTGTTCTTAACCGCTGAGCCATCTGTCTAGCCCAACTCTTTCTTTAAAAAAAAAAATTATTACATTTGGTGGGGGAGGTGAAGGTGTACATGTGCACCAACCATAACCTGCATATGGAGATCAGAGGATTGCTTGCCTGGGGACTGAACTCAGGTTGCCAGGCTTGGTGGCAGGTGCCTTTATCCATTGTTCCCTCTTGCCAGCCAGATCCTTTTCAAGACAGCTGTGCTGCTTCTCTGTTGGCAAGTTTTCTGGCTGTCCATCTATGTCTCCTTGCTTACAGCTGCAGGCCTCGGTTCCTCTCCCCTAACCTCTCAGCTTCAGTGTCCCTCCCTGGCATACTGGATGCTTCAGTTGTCAAGTTGACACACCTGGGAAGAGGGAGCCTCAACTGAGGGATTTCCTTCACTGGGTTGGCCTGTGACCATGTCTGTAAGGGATTTTCTTAGTTGCTAATTGATATAGGAGGGCCCAGACCACTGTGGGCAGTGCCAATCCTAGGCAGGAGGGCCTGGGCTGTGTAAGAAAGAGAGGGGAGCAAGCCAGTCAGCATTCCAACATGGTCTCTGCTTCAGGTTCCTGCCTTCAGTTCCTGCCCTGGCTTCCCTCAGTGATAAACTATAGTGTGGAAGTGTAAGCCCAAAAACCCTTTCCTCCGCAAGTTGCTTCTGTTCAGTGTTTTGTCACAGCAACAGAAATGCACCTCGAACACGACAGCGCTGGCAGTGCTGCTGCTGTGAACAGTTTCTTATCAGGTCTCCGGGAGGTAGACTCTGAGGTGCATGTCCGGGGGTGGGGGTCCCCTTGCACAGGAGATGGGGTGGGAAGGAGAGCCAAGAGGTAGACCAGCAGCAGCCTCAGCCTACCCTAGAGCTGTGCAGCCAAAATGGCCACCAGGAATGTGGAAAGATGGGACATCATGTCTGCCTTCATAATCCCACATTGCAGTCTTTGGTGGGCCTCCCTAGGATGAAGCAGAGCTTGGACGAGGCTACTCTGCCCGCTGGGGGGCAATTCCGGAAGGGCTGATACCTGGAGGCTGGCTGCTGACATCTCCCTGCCTGAGGCCCTCAGTCCTCCCTTGAAGGGGAATGGGGCTGCATATCCATGTTCACCAGAAGCACAGATGTCAACCATTCATGTGGGGTGTGACCATAGGGCCAGACACACTGCAGTGAGCATTGTCATAAAAACTTTGACTTTGCATTTCTAGAGACTGAAAACAGGCTGTTTTGCCACAGGGTCATCCCCATGGTAAAGTCAAGCAGATAGCCCCTTCCCGCTTTCCCACACTTGGCACCCTACCTTAGTGTTTTGGAAATGGGCCCAGGCTGAGATTCTGCGTTTCTGAGGAGAACCAGGAATTGTTAGAATTGGTTAGAAGGGATGCTGTAAGGGAAACAAGTGTATGCTGGGAGGGCAGCAGTCAGTAATCACGTACCCATCTTCCAGGTGGAGCTGAGGCTAGGGTACTTGGCACCTTACCTAGAGTCCTCAGACATCCTCTGTTGCCTATAAAAGTCTGCTCCATTTTCCCACTGCACACAACCCAATTGTCCAGCGATGGAGCTCAGTTCTGCAGAAGGTGAACCAAACACAAGATAGAATCCAGCTGTCTTTTGAAAACAAGAGAATGGGCATTGGTGGAACACCACCTCCCAGTCAAGGGCAGAACACTGCCTTGGGATGGTAAGAATGTAGTGGATGGGCTTGTGTTTTCCTTTCTCATGGACTGGAGCTCTGGGAGAGAGTTTGGTTAGTAACAGAAAAGAAAAACACCCTTTACTTTGAACTTTGCTTGATTTACATTTTGCACGCTGTATCCTTGGCTGACCCTGCTCATTAGGTATAAAGAGCCACTCTTAGAATTAGACTCACCTTTCTCTACCTGAGAGTTGGGCCCTTTGCCTTCATTTTGCTGTCCACCAGCAGACCTGAGTCTACAGCTGGTGCCTAACGTGGCTGCTCAAGGAATGTGGTGAATGTGTTTCAAGGTGGCTGTGTTTCAAGATAAGGTGGCGGAACCGAAAGGGAAACTACCCAAGGTAAGCGATAGTTGGCAAAGTAAAAGTAAAATGGGGAGTTCCCCGTCAGTGGATGAGCAATACTTCCAGTTGTTAAAAGCCCTCTTAAAAGGAGGGGAAGTAAGACTAAAAGATGAAACTCTTAAGCAGTTATTTAAAAGGTTGAAAAAAAAAAAAAACATTGCTATTGGTTCCACCCTGAAGGGTAGACTACTTTAGAGTATGGATTCAATTCAGATTATGAAGTCTTTAAAGAGAACCCATCAGTGAGGGGAGAGAATTCCCATTCCAGTGTGGTCTCTGTGTACTTTAAGTCCTAAAGCTTTACAGCCTCTTTAAACAGACTCAGAGAGCCACTCAGATAAGGGACGCTCTGATAGTGAACTTTTTACAAAACAGAGAGGTAAGGAAGGACAAGGTGGTCAGGGGCCTCTCTCTGTGGATGACTCACTGCAGCCCCACCCTTTCTTCAAGTGCCTTTACAGGTTACTGAAGAGTCATCTCCAGAATTAGAAGGTGATCTTAAGATTTTATATGAGGAGCTTGAGACTGGTCCTTAGGTTAAGACAATTAAGAAGTCTAATGAGGGCTGGAGAGTCGGCTCAGCAGTTAAGAGCACTGACTGCTCTTGCAGAGGACCCGGGTTCAATTCCCAGCACCCACATGGCGGTACAATCCGTCGTTAACTCCAGTTCCAGGGGAATCCGAAGCCCTCTTCTGACCTCCACAACATTGCATGACACGGGTGCACTCACATACAAGCACGCAATACACTCGTACACATAAAAATAAAATATTTTTAAAATATTAATATTTTTAATATTAAAGTATTTAAAAAAGAAGTCTAATGAGCCAGAGACCTCATCTTCTGAGGATGAGATAAAAATCTCTAAATCTCAATATAAGGAACTTTTAAAGGAAATAAAGAAATCGGCAATACGAAAAGGGGAAGAAACTGAAGAATATTACTCTCCATATAATCCTAAATATGCAAGTGTAAAGAAAAAAGATCTGGCTAAATATAAATCTGGTCTTAAACATGCAGGATTTCAAAAAGCCTGTAAACAATGTTCTATAGATAATATTTTCAATTTTCCTGTAACTGTTAATCAAGTTCCTCCAAATGAGGAATATCCAGAAGGGGCATTCCAATTTTCTCATACTCCTGTAACTTTTAAGACTATCAAAGAAATGAAACAAGCACTGTTAACTTATGGGATGCATTCTACTTACGTTGGAGGAATTTTACAAGGTCTTGCTGCAGAGGTTGGATTAATACCATTTGATTAGGACACTTTGGCTAAAGCAGTTTTGGAGGCAGGAGCTTACTTGCAATTTAGAACTTGGTGGCACTATGGCTCGGAAAAATCAAGAAAACAATATTGCTATAACAGCCGGACAGTTAATGGGGTCTGGAGCATGGCTTGGAGTTGAGAGGCAACTTCAATATGATGATGACACTGCCATTTCCCAAGTAAGGCTGTGTTGTCTTAGGGCATGGGATGAAGTTGCAAACCCTGGACACTCCTCAGCATCATTTACTAAAATTATGCAGTCATCTAAGGAGCCATATACAAAAATTTTTGTCTCATTTGTAAGCTGCCATTGCTAAAGCTCTCTCACAAGTTGAGGTGCAGACCTTGACTTTTAAAAGTGCAAACTCAAAATGTCACAAAGCCCTAAGACCTCTTAGAGCACAGGGAACCAAACAATAAAAAGAAAAGAAATTGGACAACATAGAGTTAACAAGACAAGCTGCTTTGGAAGGTCACAAGCAAGTTGGAGGCATACCACAAAGTTCATTGCACATAAGGAACTGTGGAGGTGTCGGCCAGCACACTGACCAGCACCACAACCCTCATCTTGAGCTTGTTATTCCAAAACCTTAAAGATAGTCAGTAGCCATAGCAGGACTTTGTACCTAGATAGCAACTGGGGAAAAGGAGCTGGAAAAACGTTTGTGTCCTGTGAGAAATCACGTGCTGTGCTTCTGCTTCTCATGCTGTAACTGTTTTGAAGGCCAATCAAAGGAAAAGCCAAAGGGCACTCTGAGCTCTCACCCTGGAGGTGCTGAGCCCTCTGCTGTCTTTGAAATAAGCATTCCCTGTGTCCATGGTTACTTTTGGGACTAAACATCAACAGCTGGCACCGTAAGTAG